GGCCGGAAGGTCAGGCCAGATCAGGAGGAAGAAATCGATGCTTCTGCTCCATGTCCATATCGCTGATCAACATTGATCACGCCTCTTTCACGGGAATGGCAAGGTCCGAATTCCTCTTCATGCAAGAGATCAACGAAGCGAACCACGCAGCTGCAGAATGGTGCAACACACAGAGCACAACACCTTGCAAACCCAGCATGTCGGCTACTCCACGGGAGGCAACTTTAACGCCTTCAACTCGTTCGCCATCCAATTTAAAGCCGCAACGCCCGGCGCGGATGAGACGCTTTCAGCTAGTTTGTTGAACATCGAGATGTACGTTATGCTTGGAGTCGTCGCTGTCGATGTTGTAGATCGAGATAAGCTGCTTGAACACTTCAGCGTCCGAACGTCTGCCCTTGAACGACTCGTAAATTCGGTCAGCGGAGATACTCCCAATACGTTCATCATACAAGAAAGCATACCTCAACCAGGCGTCGAGCACCTTAGGACTGACCTCCGGTCTAGCAAGGCCTCAGGTTTTCTGCCACATCAGTAGGGTGGACTGGACGCTTGAACCATTCTTCCAGCTTCCGATAGAGGTACGTGTCCTGATTGAGCTTCAGGTCGTTGACGTAATTATAAAGCTTAACCAGCGCATCCATTCCCATCGCTCGCTCCTCTGTGCGCTCTCCTTTGTGGTTTGATGAAGGAGCTATCCAGTCTTTCGACCCCACACTGCGATGAGTAGTCGACGCGGTCATGCCCACAGGCGAGCCCTGGGACTGCAAACGAATCGGCGAGTTGGATGTCGTGTCGTCACTGCGTGAAGCAGTTACCGGGTTGCCGCTGGCGATCGATTCGGCACTTTCACCGAAAAAAGGTGCCGGGGACTGCGAGTAGAAGGCAGAGCTTATGCATACAAGTGGCTCGGGTGGGTGGGTGGGTGGCTGCGAGTGAATTGTACAATGAGGACTGCGGGCGTGATTTCGTCGAGATGCGGTGCGGAGACTGATCCTCATCAGCCTGGCCGCCACTCCCCGATCGACAGCCAGCTGCAACCACAGACAGAGACGAGACTCTTTGAAGAGCCAGGAAACTGATCCTCTTGCCCGGGACGGCAAGTCACGCACAGTGGGGTCAAGGCAAAAAGGTGAGAGTGTAACGGGGGTGAATCGCTACATAACAATTTATAAGAAATTGTTAGTAGAATATAACTATAAGAGTTATATTCTCAGAATATTGTCATAAGGACAAATATTCTGTAGCACTTACGAGTAGTTCCTAATTGGTTGATATAGGCCATTATATCAACCAACGAAGACGCGCCACGACAGACGCACGCAATGAGTGGTGAGCAGATAGTTGATTTACACATTTGTATTTAGACATAGTTAGATGAAGATAAATAGTGATTTCTTGCAGACATTAACTATTATAAATACAGTTCTACTTTTTACTCTAACCGAGTACTCGCTTCTTCTTACCGTCTTCCTCTGCACGTACGAGTGTACGTGAAGTTACGAGGCACCGCCTTATTCTGTCATCAGAATAAGTAGCTTGTACTGTCACCAGTACAAGCTTCAGGGTGCCCCGTTACACCTGGTAGCACTTCGTAGTCCGTCCAAGGACCGCGTTCACATCCAACATGAATATGTTAGATGATGAAGATGACCAAAGCTTTCACGCTACGCGTGACGGCTACTCACGTTTGAGCGATGTTGAATGGGATGCGGTTAAACGGATGGGTTCAACCATGGGCATCCATGTTGTTACCGTCATGCTAGAGGCGCTCAATAGAGATGCCCAACATGCTACTATCGCCAAGTTCATTCAAAATGAACTTGACGCTGAACGCGAGAAAGTAGCCTTGCTTCACCAACAAGGTTCTCAACAATCAGAGTTGTTGAGAAAACAGGGTGCTCAACAGTTTGAACTGTTGAGACAGCAGCAGGCTGCTGCTGGTGGGTCGATGCACTCGCGTCGACCCGAGACCTTGAAGATTGACATCTCCAAGTATAGGGGAGTCGAAGAGGACTCCCTCTTGAGATGGTTCGTCGAATTGGATGACGCCATAAGGGCGCGTCGCATCGACGACGGGGATATGCAAGTTGCATTTGCCCAGTCAAATCTAGCAGGACGTGCCAAGACTTGGGCACTGGGGCTCAAGTTGCACGACCCACATGCGTTTGGGTCGTTGGAAGTCTTCAAGTCGCGGCTCAGACAACCGTTTGAACCGCCTAGAGCTGAGTTCGAAGCTCGAAATGAACTCTTGAGGCTCAAACAGGGTAAGCGTGATGTGCACGCTTATGCACAACATATACGACATCTCACGAGTTGTAAAAGTTCCAACTTGGAAGATGAACACGCGTTGGCTTCGGTGTTCATGCAGGGTCTTGCGGATGGTCCCGTCAAGACTCACCTGTTCCGGCTTGAACTAGATTCACTAGAACAAGCCATTTCCATTGCGGAGCAGGAAGACTTCAGTCTGAGACAGGCTTGCGCCAGCTCGACATCATATCGTCAACCGAGACGATATGACAGCGGAGGTCCAGAGCCGATGGAACTCTGTTATGTAGAGAGCGAGAAGGCTCGCTCTACAGGCTACAAGAAGTTTCAGAAATGCAACAGATGTCAAAAGACAGGACACTACGCTTACGAGTGTAGTGCCCCTCGTCCAGTGTCTCGCAACACTGGGCGTAGTGACCGTCCACCCATGAGAAAGGGGCAGGGACGCGGGTCCGCTGTTGGTGCAAAGACGCAACAACGGGATGGACCGTCAAAAAACGGACAGGATCAGTAGGTGCGGAGCACCCTACTGGTCCAGCAACGTCAAGAGAATTTGTAGGCCTCTTGATGAAGGTTGCTCCCAACACACAAACATTGTGCGCTGCTGCTCTAGGTAATGAGATCTCACTCATTACCTTGAAACTCGAAGTGACGAATAAGTTGTCCCTTCGAGCTCTAATCGATTGTGGGGCGTCTAACAATTTTGTGCGACGCCAATCGCTAGAAGATGGTCACTTTAAGTTCAGTGAATGTGACACACCTCCTACGAGGATGACGGTACGTCTTGCGACAGGCGCATCCGTAACCGTCATGAAGCGTATAGTGAAGATCCACTATACGCTAGAAGATACCCAATATGACGATGACTTTACCGTATTGGATTTGGATGACAAATTTGATGTCATCCTTGGAATACCGTGGCTCAGAAGGTACGAACCACGAGTAAACTGGCAACATCGAACAGTAACGATGCCTGCCGCTTGTTCATCAGATGGCCATCTGATGAACGTTTTGGAGCGTCCACAAGCGTGTGGATGTACTACGAGTAAGTGTGATGGCCTCACTTGTGGTACGGTCGTTAGTACGACTGCACAAAACCTTAGTGTGACAAACGGTTACACTTCGGAGCAAAGTTCCGGCGGCTGTGAGGAAACACAGGCTGCGCCGAAGGTCCACCACTCGAATAAGTCGAGTGGACCGGGACAAAGATGTATCCCTAGCGGGGAACATCTAGAAGAGAAACAGTCGATCGCTCGGGTTAAGCGAAACGATAATCCTAGATCGACTGGAGAGTCTTTCGTAGAGGATCTCGCTGTGGTTGCGCAACCCCAGCTAGAGGAAGTAAAGGGAATAAGTCCCAAGATTACAAATACGGCGGAAATAAGTTCCCCAAAACCCGCGGAAATAAGTCCCCGGGAAGACAAAGGAATAAGTCCTTCGAAGCCTGAGGGAATAAGTCCCCAGGAAATGACAGAGACATTGAATGTCATAGTCAATAACGGATCAAGTGTAGGCGCTTATACACTTGATCTGATTGCGCCTCCGAAGTTGACTTCGGAGATCACTCAGTTGCCAACGCTCGAACATAAAAGGTTCTTGCGTGATCTGCGTAGTGGCAAAGTCAAGCAGATCTGCGTACTAGTCGCTGACGACGAGTGTGTAGCCGACATAAGGTCAGCAACAGTGTTTACTGAGAACGAGAGAGTTCTCAGTAGTTTATCTATGGACGAGAGTGTCCTAGATGAAAAGACACGAATTGAGCGATATGACTCCCAATCCTGGGAATCGCTCAAGACAAATCCTCTCTATGAAGATTCGGTTGAATTCAAGGAATATTCCCTGAAACTGTTCCGTGCGACTTACCGAAGGATAAAGGTATTCGACACGAGGTCGAGCTTAAACCAGGCTCGAAGTACTGTGTCATGAAGCAGTGGCCACTGCCTCGTGAACAAGTACTTGCGATCGACAAGTTCTTTGCCGATCGTTTAGCTGCGGGCCATATGAGGGAATCAACTTCCCCACATAGCTCTCCGACCTTCTGTGTGCGAAAAGCAACAGGACGGTGGCGGATAGTGCACGCGTTCAACAAATTGAACGCTGCAACGGTACCGGCTCAGACGCCGATACCGAGGAAGGACGTAATCATTGATGGTGTGTCAAAGAGTACCATCTTTTCGTCCATGGATTTGATGGATGGCTTCTATCAAATCCTTATGCGAGAACGGTATATACCCTATACCGCAGTTAGAACGCCTAGCGGCATGCTCTGGGAATGGCTAGTAATGCCACAAGGGCTCAGTAATGCCCCGGCCACGTTCAACAGATGTGTATCACATCTGTTGAGACCAGTACGAGAATTCGCGCCGAGTTATTTCGATGACGTATTCATCCATAGTCGGGCTATGGATGGAACGTCGGACGTTGAGGTTCACAGGTACCACGTCCGACAGGTTCTTACAATCATGCGAAAGCACCAATTGTATGCAAACCTCAAGAAGTGTATATTTGCAGCAAGCGAAATACCACTTCTTGGGTGCATCGTTGGTAAGAACGGTGTACGTCCTGATCCCGAAAAGATTAAGGCGATCACCGACTGGCCTGTGCCAGTTGATGTCAAAGGTCTTCGAAAATTCCTTGGGCTAGCGGCGTATTTGCACAAGTATTCACGCAATTACGCCGAGATGACTGTACACCTCTCTCGTTTGTTGAAAAAGAACGAAAGGTGGTTATGGAACGCTGAATGTCAGCGCTCCTTTGAGGGTATCAAGCAGAGCTTGATACAATCCCCAGTCCTAGCAACAGCCGATCAGGACAGGCCATTTCATGTGGTCTGTGATGCCAGCGATTTCGCAATCGGCTGTGCATTAATGCAGTACGATCTTGAAGGCGTTGAACGCGTCGTCTGCTATCAGTCGCGTCAGCTGCAACCAGATGATCGGAACTATCCAGTGCATGACAAGGAACTCCTTGCCATGAAATATGCACTCGCGAAGTTCAGAGTCTATCTCTTAGGAGATATACCCTTCATTGTTTGCACTGACCATGCGTCATTACGCACGGCAGTGAACAGCCCGCACCTTTCACAACGAATGGCGCGGTGGTTGTCATTCTTTGCAGAATACAACTTACGGTCGAGTACAAACCAGGACGACTTAATATCGTCGCTGATGCACTCTCACGTCGTCCCGACTTTGAACCAGTCGTGAAACCCAACAGTGATACAGTCACTGTTGCGGTTATGACGTCCTCAGTCCCATCTACAGCGTTGTATGATGATGTGAGGCGGGCATACGCCCAAGATGGTGAGATTGTGAAGTTGTTGACACATCTCTCACAACCATCTCGAGAATCGTTGAAACGATTGTCGTCTGCGTATCGATCTGCATCAGATCGATACACTACTCGCGACGGTTTACTGTATTATACAGCCATTACTAATGACACACCACGTGTTGTCATTCCAGATGATACTGATCTGCGTTTGCGGATCATGTTCGAGTATCACGATGCTCCTATAGGAGGACTTCGTGGCCGGGAGAAAACATATCTCACGGTGAGTCGAGACTTTTACTGGCCCCGCCAGTATCAGTTTGTGCGAAAGTATGTTCGCGCATGCGAAGTCTGCCAACGAGTGAAGTCAAGTCCTTCACTGCGTGCACCTTTACAGCCTCTACCGGTTCCGGCTGAGTGCTGGGAATCCATCTCAATGGATTTCGTCTTCGGGTTACCCAAAGACGCACGCGGGAATACGGGTATTCTCGTATTTGTTGACAGATTCAGCAAAATGGTACACCTCGTGGCTGTACCAGAGACAATCACGGCAAGTGGCTGTGCTTGTGTCTTTATTGACACCATCTTCCGACTTCATGGGTTGCCCCGTGAACTCGTATCAGACAGAGATCCACGATTCACTGCTGATTTCTGGCGTCCCGTGTTCAAATCACTCGGAACACGCTTGAAGATGTCGACATCTGATCATCCAGAGTCAGATGGTCAGACGGAACGTGCCAATCGTGTCCTTGAAGAGATACTTCGAGGATACGTACACTCCTTTAAGAGTTGGAGTGAGTTTTTGCCAATGGTAGAGTTTGCCATCAACAACTCGGTGCATGCGTCCACGACACATACACCGTTTTACGTGAATGGCTTGCGCCATCCGCGTGTACCCATCTTACTAGAGTGTAACTCTGGTTTAAAGGGGGAGGGACTCGCGCGAGCAAAAACCGATTTGGTTCACGCTCATCAAGCTCTGACGAAGAGGTCATTGCGTTTGATGCCAATATCGATAACATCGATATCGAAGAAGATGATGCCAGTGAGAGTGCGGAAGCCCTCACTGAAGAAAAGGTTGATGTTGCTGCAGTGCGCTCACAGCGCACTGAAGATAACGAGTCATCAGATGAGTTCATGCTGGCTCGTGAAACGGTAATATGTTTTGTGCAAGATTCCATCTCCGAAGCGGTGGATAAGCAAAAGCAAAACGCTGACAAGAATGGAAGGGCAAACACTCTTTTATTTAATAAAGGTGACTTAGTCCTACTATCTACGGTTAATCTACCAAAGCATGTAGTGACTAACTTGGGTAGTAGTAAACTACTACCCAAGTACATCGGCCCGTTTCGTGTATTGCACCGCCTAGGCAATGCATACACGATCGAGTTACCACGTAAGATGCGAACACATCCCACGTTTTACGTTGGTCGGCTTAAGCCGTACCATCAGTACGCTGCTTCTTTCGACGAAGAACGCCCTTGCGCTCAAGCATCTCGCAGAGAGCCTTGTGCTCCCCATGGTGGGCATCGACAAGGGTCTGAAGAGCAGTAATCTCATCCCGAGGCCGATCAACAATCCCACGAGCTACCCTTAGCTCTTCACGAAGAGATGTCAGAGCTCTCTCGTTCTCAAGCTGAGCAAAGGCAAACTCAGCTCGATGCTCCGAGACAGTGTCGGCCATTTGGAGACGCCTGTCCCGCTCATGTTCGAGATCGTTGCGTAACTCTTGCGTTACGCGATCAAAGAAGCTCTCGGGAACACACGGATCCCCATGATCGTGTGGAGAGCGTCTTTCCTCCTCCTCCACCTCCATTAGAGGACTCTCGCGGTGGCCAGCGCTATCTAGTTGAGCAGCTGTTGAACCACCGCGACGTGAACGGACGTCGAACGAGTTATCTCGTCCGGTGGCGCGACTATCCCCCGTCCTGGGATACTTGGGATCCCCGCTCCCAACTGATAGTTGACGTACTGGGTCTGGTTGAGCAGTACGACGCGGCACATCCTGTGCCGCAGAAGGACCGCCAGAGAAAGTCTTCCCGGCACGGTCGTAAAGGGATTTCAGGTTGTCAATCCCTTTGTACATCTCAGTAGAGATACGTACGCGCCACCACGGGCTAGTAAGGAGGTAAGCCTCCTTAGGTGCTCGTGCAGAGTTGTCCACACAACATGGGCACGAGTCTCCCCCAAGAGAGGCAGGGTAATCCTTTCTCCCTTGACAGACGATGCAGCTTGTAGCGTGCACCTGTCGGGGTTCGCTTTTCAAGCTAATCACGAGCTTTGATAAGTTTGTCGTTACAAGCGTCACGACCTACATCCTCAAGGTTATGGATGTAGGCGTTCCACGCCTAAAGCAGTGAGGGACCATCACGCTTGTGATTCCCACTGTACCATCGATGTCTAAAGAAAGCGTCGATGAAGAATTCATTCTCAGCGCGATAGTTTTTCGCGCTGGGGTCAAGGTGATGGATCCTTGACGAATCGAACAACCGTGTTCGATAACGATCACTCGTCGTTGCCGACAAGTGATCCACGACAGATTTGGGAGGCATCCATGCCTTCTTCTCAGGAGCGAGACGCAACACATTGCGGTCCCGCTCTTCCTGCGATGTGCCGACAGAAGTACTGGCACCTCGTTGCGAAGTGGTGTCCATAGGAGAACCGACACCACTGTTAGCGCCCGAGTCTCGCGACCTCGAGCGCCTTCGCTTCGGCGATGGTTCATCTGATTCATCAGATGAACCAAAGATGCTGCGACGCAAAGCATCGTCCATGCCACGCTTGGCAGGCGGCTTGGATTCAATCGCCGTCGATACGGATCCGTCATCCGTATCAGGAGAGTACGAGACACCGAGCTCGTACTCTGTGAAGACACGAGTGTCTTCATGACCAGCGCCTGCATCACCAAGTGACACAGGCTGGGTCGCTTCAGCAACCGATGAGACATCAGTTGCTGTGGTTTCTCTGCTTCGGCGTCTGTAACGGGGCACCCTGAAGCTTGTACTGGTGACAGTACAAGCTACTTATTCTGATGACAGAATAAGGCGGTTCCTCGTAACTTCACGTACACTCGTACGTGCAGAGGAAGACGGTAAGAAGAAGCGAGTACTTGGTTAAAGTAAAAAGTAGAACTGTATTTATAATAGTTAATGTCTGCAAGAAATCACTATTTATCTTCATCTAACTATGCCTAAATACAAATGTGTAAATCAACTATCTGCTCACCACTCATTGCGTGCGTCTGTCGTGGCGCGTCTTCGTTGGTTGATATAATGGCCTATATCAACCAATTAGGAACTCCTCTGTAAGTGCTACAGAATATTTGTCCTTATGACAATATTCTGAGAATATAACTCTTATAGTTATATTCTATTAACAATTTCTTATAAATTGTTATGTAACGATTCACCCCGTTACATCACCCCCTTAACCATCAGTCACATTAGTGACTGATTGACTAAATGGATACTCGTTCCAAATCGTTTGGGACAGGGTTTGCACTTGTTGGTCCAAGTCCACTTTCCAACAATTCATCGCATGGTTAACAAGCCCATGCGACGCGCGAGCAAGGCCGCCGAGAGCGCGTCCGCACGTCTCTGTGCGGACGCCGAAGCAGAAACCACAGCAACTGATGTCTCATCGGTTGCTGAAGCGACCCAGCCTGTGTCACTTGGTGATGCAGGCGCTGGTCATGAAGACACTCGTGTCTTCACAGAGTACGAGCTCGGTGTCTCGTACTCTCCTGATACGGATGACGGATCCGTATCGACGGCGATTGAATCCAAGCCGCCTGCCAAGCGTGGCATGGACGATGCTTTGCGTCGCAGCATCTTTGGTTCATCTGATGAATCAGATGAACCATCGCCGAAGCGAAGGCGCTCGAGGTCGCGAGACTCGGGCGCTAACAGTGGTGTCGGTTCTCCTATGGACACCACTTCGCAACGAGGTGCCAGTACTTCTGTCGGCACATCGCAGGAAGAGCGGGACCGCAATGTGTTGCGTCTCGCTCCTGAGAAGAAGGCATGGATGCCTCCCAAATCTTGTCGTGGATCACTTGTCGGCGACGACGAGTGATCGTTATCGAACACGGTTGTTCGATTCGTCAAGGATCCATCACCTTGACCCCAGCGCGAAAAACTATCGCGCTGAGAATGAACTTCTTCATCGACGCTTTCTTTAGACATCGATGGTACAGTGGGAATCACAAGCGTGATGGTCCCTCACTGCTTTAGGCGTGGAACGCCTACATCCATAACCTTGAGGATGTAGGTCGTGACGCTTGTAACGACAAACTTATCAAAGCTCGTGATTAGCTTGAAAAGCGAACCCCGACAGGTGCACGCTACAAGCTGCATCGTCTGTCAAGGGAGAAAGGATTACCCTGCCTCTCTTGGGGAGACTCGTGCCCATGTTGTGTGAACAACTCTGCACGAGCACCTAAAGAGGCTTACCTCCTTACTAGCCCGTGGTGGCGCGTACGTATCTCTACTGAGATGTACGAAAGGGATTGACAACCTGAAATCCTTTACGACCGTGCCGGGAAGACTTTCTCCGGCGGTCCTTCTGCGGCACAGGATGTGCCGCGTCGTACTGCTCAACCAGACCCAGTACGTCAACCATCAGTTGGGAGCGGGGCTCCCAAGTATCCCAGGACGGGGGATAGTCGCGCCACCGGACGAGATAACTCGTCCGACGTCCGTTCACGTCGCGGTGGTTCAACAGCTGCTCCAACTAGATAGCGCTGGCCACCGCGAGAGTCCTCTAATGGAGGTGGAGGAGGAGGAAAGACGCTCTCCACACGATCATGGGGATCCGTGTGTTCCCGAGAGCTTCTTTGATCGCGTAACGCAAGAGTTACGCAACGATCTCGAACATGAGCGGGACAGGCGTCTCCAAATGGCCGACACTGTCTCGGAGCATCGAGCTGAGTTTGCCTTTGCTCAGCTTGAGAACGAGAGAGCTCTGACATCTCTTCGTAGAAGAGCTAAGGGTAGCTCGTGGGATTGTTGATCGGCCTCGGGATGAGATTACTGCTCTTCAGACCCTTGTCGATGCCCACCATGGGGAGCACAAGGCTCTCTGCGAGATGCTTGAGCGCAAGGGCGTTCTTCATCGAAAGAAGCAGCGTACTGATGGTACGGCTTAAGCCGACCAACGTAAAACGTGGGATGTGTTCGCATCTTACGTGGTAACTCGATCGTGTATGCATTGCCTAGGCGGTGCAATACACGAAACGGGCCGATGTACTTGGGTAGTAGTTTACTACTACCCAAGTTAGTCACTACATGCTTTGGTAGATTAACCGTAGATAGTAGGACTAAGTCACCTTTATTAAATAAAAGAGTGTTTGCCCTTCCATTCTTGTCAGCGTTTTGCTTTTGCTTATCCACCGCTTCGGAGATGGAATCTTGCACAAAACATATTACCGTTTCACGAGCCAGCATGAACTCATCTGATGACTCGTTATCTTCAGTGCGCTGTGAGCGCACTGCAGCAACATCAACCTTTTCTTCAGTGAGGGCTTCCGCACTCTCACTGGCATCATCTTCTTCGATATCGATGTTATCGATATTGGCATCAAACGCAATGACCTCTTCGTCAGAGCTTGATGAGCGTGAACCAAATCGGTTTTTGCTCGCGCGAGTCCCTCCCCCTTTAAACCAGAGTTACACTCTAGTAAGATGGGTACACGCGGATGGCGCAAGCCATTCACGTAAAACGGTGTATGTGTCGTGGACGCATGCACCGAGTTGTTGATGGCAAACTCTACCATTGGCAAAAACTCACTCCAACTCTTAAAGGAGTGTACGTATCCTCGAAGTATCTCTTCAAGGACACGATTGGCACGTTCCGTCTGACCATCTGACTCTGGATGATCAGATGTCGACATCTTCAAGCGCGTTCCGAGTGATTTGAACACGGGACGCCAGAAATCAGCAGTGAATCGTGGATCTCTGTCTGATACGAGTTCACGGGGCAACCCATGAAGTCGGAAGATGGTGTCAATAAAGACACAAGCACAGCCACTTGCCGTGATTGTCTCTGGTACAGCCACGAGGTGTACCATTTTGCTGAATCTGTCAACAAATACGAGAATACCCGTATTCCCGCGTGCGTCTTTGGGTAACCCGAAGACGAAATCCATTGAGATGGATTCCCAGCACTCAGCCGGAACCGGTAGAGGCTGTAAAGGTGCACGCAGTGAAGGACTTGACTTCACTCGTTGGCAGACTTCGCATGCGCGAACATACTTTCGCACAAACTGATACTGGCGGGGCCAGTAAAAGTCTCGACTCACCGTGAGATGTGTTTTCTCTCGGCCACGAAGTCCTCCTATAGGAGCATCGTGATACTCGAACATGATCCGCAAACGCAGATCAGTATCATCTGGAATGACAACACGTGGTGTGTCATTAGTAATGGCTGTATAATACAGTAAACCGTCGCGAGTAGTGTATCGATCTGATGCAGATCGATACGCAGACGACAATCGTTTCAACGATTCTCGAGATGGTTGTGAGAGATGTGTCAACAACTTCACAATCTCACCATCTTGGGCGTATGCCCGCCTCACATCATCATACAACGTTGTAGATGGGACTGAGGACGTCATAACCGCAACAGTGACTGTATCACTGTTGGGTTTCACGACTGGTTCAAAGTCGGGACGACGTGAGAGTGCATCAGCGACGATATTAAGTCGTCCTGGTTTGTACTCGACCGTAAGTTGTATTCTGCACAGAATGACAACCACCGCGCCATTCGTTGTGAAAGGTGCGGGCTGTTCACTGCCGTGCGTAATGACGCATGGTCAGTGCAAACAATGAAGGGTATATCTCCTAAGAGATAGACTCTGAACTTCGCGAGTGCATATTTCATGGCAAGGAGTTCCTTGTCATACACTGGATAGTTCCGCTCAGCTGGTTGCAGCTGACGCGACTGATAGCAGACGACGCGTTCAACGCCTTCAAGATCGTACTGCATTAATGCACAGCCGATTGCAAAATCGCTGGCATCACAGACCACATGAAATGGCCTGTCCTGATCGGCTGTTGCTAGGACTGGGGATTGTATCAAGCTCTGATTGATACCATCAAAGGAGCGCTGACATTCAGCGTTCCATAACCACCTTTCGTTCTTTTTCAACAAACGAGAGAGGTGTACAGTCATCTCGGCGTAATTGCGTGAATACTTGTGCAAATACGCCGCTAGCCCAAGAAATTTTCGAAGACCTTTGACATCAACTGGCACAGGCCAGTCGGTGATCGCCTTAATCTTTTCGGGATCAGGACGTACACCGTTCTTACCAACGATGCACCCAAGAAGTGGTATTTCGCTTGCTGCAAATATACACTTCTTGAGGTTTGCATACAATTGGTGCTTTCGCATGATTGTAAGAACCTGTCGGACGTGGTACCTGTGAACCTCAACGTCCGACGTTCCATCCATAGCCCGACTATGGATGAATACATCATCGAAATAACTCGGCGCGAATTCTCGTACTGGTCTCAACAGATGTGTATCACATCTGTTGAACGTGGCAGGGGCATTACTGAGCCCTTGTGGCATTACTAGCCATTCCCAGAGCATGCCGCTAGGCGTGCTAACTGCGGTATAGGGTATATCCCGTTCGCATAAGGATTTGATAGAAGCCATCCATCAAATCCATGGACGAAAAGATGGTACTCTTTGACATACCATCAATGATTACGTCCTTCCTCGGTATCGGCGTCTGAGCCGGTACCGTTGCAGCGTTCAATTTGTTGAACGCGTGCACTATCCGCCACCCTCCTGTTGCTTTTCGCACACAGAAGGTCGGAGAGCTATGTGGGGAAGTTGATTCCCTCATATGGCCCGCAGCTAAACGATCGGCAAAGAACTTGTCGATCGCAAGTACTTGTTCACGAGGCAGTGGCCACTGCTTCATGACACAGTACTTCGAGCCTGGTTTAAGCTCGACCTCGTGTCGAATACCTTTATCCTTCGGTAAGTCGCACGGAACAGTTTCAGGGAATATTCCTTGAATTCAACCGAATCTTCATAGAGAGGATTTGTCTTGAGCGATTCCCAGGATTGGGAGTCATATCGCTCAATTCGTGTCTTTTCATCTAGGACACTCTCGTCCATAGATAAACTACTGAGAACTCTCTCGTTCTCAGTAAACACTGTTGCTGACCTTATGTCGGCTACACACTCGTCGTCAGCGACTAGTACGCAGATCTGCTTGACTTTGCCACTACGCAGATCACGCAAGAACCTTTTATGTTCGAGCGTTGGCAACTGAGTGATCTCCGAAGTCAACTTCGGAGGCGCAATCAGATCAAGTGTATAAGCGCCTACACTTGATCCGTTATTGACTATGACATTCAATGTCTCTGTCATTTCCTGGGGACTTATTCCCTCAGGCTTCGAAGGACTTATTCCTTTGTCTTCCCGGGGACTTATTTCCGCGGGTTTTGGGGAACTTATTTCCGCCGTATTTGTAATCTTGGGACTTATTCCCTTTACTTCCTCTAGCTGGGGTTGCGCAACCACAGCGAGATCCTCTACGAAAGACTCTCCAGTCGATCTAGGATTATCGTTTCGCTTAACCCGAGCGATCGATTGTTTCTCTTCTTGATGTTCCCCGCTAGGGATACATCTTTGTCCCGGTCCACTCGACTTATTCGAGTGGTGGACCTTCGTCGCAGCCTGTGTTTCCTCACAGCCGCCGGAACTTTGCTCCGAAGTGTAACCGTTTGTCACACTAAGGTTTTGTGCAGTCGTACTAACGACCGTACCACAAGTGAGGCATCACACTCACTCGTAGTACATCCACACGCTTGTGGACGCTCCAAAACGTTCATCAGGTGGCCATCTGATGAACAAGCGGCAGGCATCGATACTGTTCGATGTTGCCAGTTTACCCGTGGTTCGTACCTTCTGAGCCATGGTATTCCAAGGATGACATCAAATTTGTCATCCAAATCCAATACGATAAAGTCATCGTCATATTGGGTATCTTCTAGCGTATAGTGGATCTTCACTATACGCTTCATGACGGTTACGGATGCGCCTGTCGCAAGACGTACCGTCATCCTCGTAGGAGGTGTGTCACATTCACTGAATTTAAAGTGACCATCTTCTAGCGATTGGCGTCGCACAAAATTGTTGGACGCCCCACAATCGACTAGAGCTCGAAGGGACAACTTATTCGTCACTTCGAGTTTCAAGGTAATGAGTGAGACCTCATTACCTAGAGCAGCAACGCACAACGTTTGTGTGTTGGGAGCAACCTTCATCAAGAGGCCTACAAATTCTCTTGACGTTGCTAGACCAGTAGGGTGCTCCGCACCTACTGATCCTGTCCGTTTTTTGACGGTCCATCCCGTTGTTGCGTCTTTGCACCAACAGCGGACCCTCGTCCCTGCCCCTTTCTCATGGGTGGACGGTCACTACGCCCAGTGTCGCGAGACACTGGACGACGGGCACTACACTCGTAAGCGTAGTGTCCTGTCTTTTGACATCTGTTGCATTTCTGTAACTTCTTGTAGTCTGTAGAGCGAGCCTTCTCGCTCTCTACATAACAGAGTTCCATCGGCTCTGGACCTCCGCTGTCATATCGTCTTGGTAGACGATATGATATCGAGCTGGCGCGAGCCTGTCTCAGACTGAAGTCTTCCTGCTCCGCAATGGAAATGGCTTGTTCTAGTGAATCTAGTTCAAGCCGGAACAGGTGAGTCTTGACGGGACCATCCGCAAGACCCTGCATGAACACCGAAACCAACGTGTGTTCATCAACCGGGTTGGAACTTTTACAACTCGTGAGATGTCGTATATGTTGTGCGTAAGCGTGCACATCACGCTTACCCTGTTTGAGCCTCAAGAGTTCATTTCGAGCTTCGAACTCAGCTCTAGGCGGTTCAAACGGTTGTCTGAGCCGCGACTTGAAGACTTCCAACGACCCAAACGCATGTGGGTCGTGCAACTTGAGCCCCAGTGCCCAAGTCTTGGCACGTCCTGCCAGATTTGACTGGGCAAATGCAACTTGCATATCCCCGTCGTCGATGCGACGCGCCCTTATGGCGTCATCCACCCGACGAACCATCTCAAGAGGGAGTCCTCTTCGACTCCCCTATACTTGGAGATGTCAATCTTCAAGGTCTCGGGTCGACGCGAGTGCATCGACCCGCCAGCAGCAGCCTGCTGCTGTCTCAACAGTTCCAACTGTTGAGCACCCTGTTCTCTCAACAACTCTGCATGTTGAGAACCTTGTTGGTGAAGCAAGGCTACTTTCTCGCGTTCTGCGTCAAGTTCATTTTGAATGAACTTGGCGATAGTAGCATGTTGGACATCTCTATTGAGAGCCTCTAGCATGACGCTAACAGCATGGATGCCCATGGTTGAACCCATCCGTTCAACCGCATCCCATTCAACATCGCTCAAACGTGAGTAGCCGTCACGCGTAGCGTGAAAGCTTTGGTCATCTTCATCATCCAACATATTCATGTTGGATGTGAACGCGGTCCTTGGACGGACTACGAAGTGCTACCAGGTGTAACGGGGCACCCTGAAGCTTGTACTGGTGACAGTACAAGCTACTTATTCTGATGACAGAATAAGGCGGTGCCTCGTAACTTCACGTACACTGGTACGTGCAGAGAGAGGAAGACGGTCAGAAGAAGCGAGTACTTGGTTAGAGTAAAAAGTAGAACTGTATTTAGTATAGTTAATGTCTGCAATAAATCACTATTTATCTTCATTTAACTATGTCTAAATACAAATGTGTAAATCAGTTATCTGCTCACCACTCATTGCGTGCGTCTGTCGTGGCGCGTCTTCGTTGGTTGATATAATGGCCTATATCAACCAATTAGGAACTACTCGTAAGTGCTACAGAATATTCGTCCTTATGACAATATTCTGAGAATACAACTCTTATAGTTATATTCTCTTAACAATTTCTTATAAATTGTTATGTAACGATTCACCCCGTTACATTTTAGGTCTTGGTGCAGAGTATATCGCAATGCAGGGGTAAACCAGCTCTTCGTTAGCAGAAGGTCATGTGAATTGACAGTTTTTTTGCGGTAGCACCGATGCGCCAGACCTGATGTTGTCATGGGTTGCAGCCGACGTTAGTGTTAAAGCTTCCGTAACTGTAACGTCTAGATACACTGAAAATATACGACAATCACCAAGAAGACTAGCAGTGTAACGGGGTGAATCGTTACATAACAATTTATAAGAAATTGTTAAGAGAATATAACTATAAGAGTTGTATTCTCAGAATATTGTCATAAGGACAAATATTCTGTAGCACTTACGAGTAGTTCCTAATTGGTTGATATAGGCCATTATATCAACCAACGAAGACGCGCCACGACAGACGCACGCAATGAGTGGTGAGCAGATAGTTGATTTACACATTTGTATTTAGACATAGTTAAATGAAGATAAATAGTGATTTCTTGCAGACATTAACTATTACTAAATACAGTTCTACTTTTTACTTTAACCAAGTACTCGCTTCTTCTTACCGTCTTCCTCTGCACGTACGAGTGTACGTGAAGTTACGAGGCACCGCCTTATTCTGTCATCAGAATAAGTAGCTTGTACTGTCACCAGTACAAGCTTCAGGGTGCCCCGTTACAGTCAATTCTGTCTGTAGCACATGCAAGTGCGAGTCCTCACGCATAACTTTATCAGTCGTCGAGAAGCAGCTCAAAGATGATGAACGGTGGTACCTCTCCCCCTCGAGGTAGCTGTTGCCTGCCTCTCCAGCATGGCTACCCCCCTCCATCAGATTACGGTCTGGCGTGCCAGCCATATCCGCAGTGGCATGCATGTCGAGGCTCGTACCCGCCTCAATATCTATCGACGGGGTGCTATGCAGCGCTTGTAACGGGGTGAATCGTTACATAACAATTTATAAGAAATTGTTAATAGAATATAACTATAAGAGTTATATTCTCAGAATATTGTCATAAGGACAAATATTCTGTAGCACTTACGAGTAGTTCCTAATTGGTTGATATAGGCCATTATATCGACCAACGAAGACGCGCCACGACAGACGCACGCAATGAGTGGTGAGCAGATAACTGATTTACACATTTGTATTTAGACATAGTTAAATGAAGATAAATAGTGATTTATTGCAGACATTAACTATACTAAATACAGTTCTACTTTTTACTCTAACCAAGTACTCGCTTCTTCTGACCGTCTTCCTCTGCACGTACCAGTGTACGTGAAGTTACGAGGCACCGCCTTATTCTGTCATCAGAATAAGTAGCTTGTACTGTCACCAGTACAAGCTTCAGGGTGCCCCGTTACACCTGGTAGCACTTCGTAGTCCGTCCAAGGACCGCGTTCACATCCAACATGAATATGTTGGATGATGAAGATGACCAAAGCTTCCACGCTACGCGTGACGGCTACTCCCATTTGAGCGATGTTGAATGGGATGCGGTTGAACGAATGGGTTCGACCATTAGCATTCATGCTGTTAGCGTCATGCTAGAGGCTCTCAATATAGATGTCCAACATGCTACTATCGCCAAGTTCATTCAAAATGAACTTGACGCAGAACGCGAGAAAGTAGCCTTGCTTCACCAACAAGGTTCTCAACATGCAGAGTTGTTGAGAGAACAGGGTGCTCAACAGTTGGAACTGTTGAGACAGCAGCAGGCTGCTGCTGGCGGGTCGATGCACTCGCGTCGACCCGAGACTTTGAAGATTGACATCTCCAAGTATAGGGGAGTCGAAGAAGACTCCCTCTTGAGATGGTTCGTCGAATTGGATGACGCCATAAGGGCGCGTCGCATCGACGACGGGGATATGCAGGTTGCATTTGCCCAGTCAAATCTGGCAGGACGTGCCAAGACTTGGGCACTGGGGCTCAAGTTGCACGACCCACATGCGTTTGGGTCGTTGGAAGTCTTCAAGTCGCGGCTCAGACAACCGTTTGAACCGCCTAGAGCTGAGTTCGAAGCTCGAAATGAACTCTTGAAGCTCAAACAGGGTAAGCGTGATGTACACGCTTACGCTCAACATATACGACATCTCACGAGTTGTAAAAGTTCCAATCCGGTGGATGAACACACGTTGGTTTCGGTGTTCATGCAGGGTCTTGCGGATGGTCCCGTCAAGACTCACCTGTTCCGGCTTGAACTAGATTCACTAGAACAAGCCATTTCCATTGCGGAGCAGGAAGACTTCAGTCTGAGACAGGCTCGCGCCAGCTCGACATCATATCGTCAACCGAGACGATATGACAACGGAGGTCCAGAGCCGATGGAACTCTGTTATGTAGAGAGCGAGAAGGCTCGCTCTACAGGCTACAAGAAGTTGCAGAGATGCAACAGATGTCAAAAGACAGGACACTACGCTTACGAGTGTAGTGCCCGTCGTCCAGTGTTTCGCGACACTGGGCGTAGTGACCGTCCACCCATGAGAAAGGGGCAGGGACGAGGGTCCGCAGTTGGTGCAAAGACGCAACAACGGGATGGACCGTCAAAAAACGGACAGGATCAGTAGGTGCGGAGCACCCTACTGGTCTAGCAACGTCAAGAGAATTTGTAGGCCTCTTGATGAAGGTTGCTCCCAACACACAAACGTTGTGCGTTGCTGCTCTAGGTAATGAGGTCTCACTCATTACCTTGAAACTCGAAGTGACGAATAAGTTGTCCCTTCGAGCTCTAGTCGATTGTGGGGCGTCTAACAGTTTTGTGCGACGCCAATCGCTAGAAGATGGTCACTTTAAATTCAGTGAATGTGACACACCTCCTACGAGGATGACGGTACGTCTTGCGACAGGCGCATCCGTAACCGTCATGAAGCGTATAGTGAAGATCCACTATACGCTAGAAGATACCCAATATGACGATGACTTTATCGTATTGGATTTGGATGACAAATTTGATGTCATCCTTGGAATACCGTGGCTCAGAAGGTACGAACCACGGGTAAACTGGCAACATCGAACAGTAACGATGCCTGCCGCTTGTTCATCAGATGGCCATCTGATGAACGTTTTGGAGCGTCCACAAGCGTGTGGATGTACTACGAGTGAGTGCGATGGCCTCACTTGTGGTACGGTCGTTAGTACGACTGCACAAAACCTTAGTGTACCAAACGGTTACACTTCGGAGCAAAGTTCCGGCGGCTGTGAGGAAACACAGGCTGCGCCGAAGGTCCACCACTCGAATAAGTCGAGTGGACTGGGACAAAGATGTATCCCTAGCGGGGAACATCTAGAAGAGAAACAATCGATCGCTCGGGTTAAGCGAAACGATAATCCTAGATCGACCGGAGAGTCTTTCGTAGAGGATCTCGCTGCGATTGCACAACCCCAGCTAGAGGAAGTAAAGGGAATAAGTCCCAAGATTACAAATACGGCGGAAATAAGTTCCCCGAAACCCGCGGGAATAAGTCCCCGGGAAGACAAAGGAATAAGTCCTTCGAAGCCTGAGGGAATAAGTCCCCAGGAAATGACAGAGACATTGAATGTCATAGTCAATAACGGATCAAGTGTAGGCGCTTATACACTTGATCTGATTGCGCCTACGAAGTTAACTTCGGAGATCACTCAGTTGCCAACGCTCGAACATAAAAGGTTCTTGCGTGATCTGCGTAGTGGCAAAGTCAAGCAGATCTGCGTACTCGTCGCTGACGACGAGTGTGTAGCCGACATAAGGTCAGCAACAGTGTTTACTGAGAACGAGAGAGTTCTCAGTAGTTCATCTATGGACGAGAGTGTCCTAGATGAAAAGACACGAATTGAGCGATATGACTCCCAATCATGGGAATCGCTCAAGACAAATCCTCTCTATGAAGATTTGGTTGAATTCAAGGATGTATTCCCTGAAACTGTTCCGTGCGAATTACCGAAGGATAAAGGTATTCTACACGAGGTCGAGCTTAAACCAGGCTCGAAGTACTGTGTCATGAAGCAGTGGCCACTGCCTCGTGAACAAGTACTTGCGATCGACAAGTTCTTTGCCGATCGTTTAGCAGCGGGCCATGTGAGGGAATCAACTTCCCCACATAGCTCTCCGACCTTCTGTGTGCGAAAAGCAACAGGAGGGTGGCGGATAGTGCACGCGTTCAACAAATTGAACGCTGCAACGGTACCGGCTCAGACGCCGATACCGAGGAAGGACGTAATCATTGATGGTATGTCAAAGAGTACCATCTTTTCGTCCATGGATTTGATGGATGGCTTCTATCAAATCCTTATGCGAGAACGGGATATACCCTATACCGCAGTTAGCACGCCTAGCGGCATGCTCTGGGAATGGCTAGTAATGCCACAAGGGCTCAGTAATGCCCCTGCCACGTTCAACAGATGTGATACACATCTGTTGAGACCAGTACGAGAATTCGCGCCGAGTTATTTCGATGATGTATTCATCCATAGTCGGGCTATGGATGGAACGTCGGACGTTGAGGTTCACAGGTACCACGTCCGACAGGTTCTTACAATCATGCGAAAGCACCAATTGTATGCAAACCTCAAGAAGTGTATATTTGCAGCAAGCGAAATACCACTTCTTGGGTGCATCGTTGGTAAGAACGGTGTACGTCCTGATCCCGAAAAGATTAAGGCGATCACCGACTGGCCTGTGCCAGTTGATGTCAAAGGTCTTCGAAAATTTCTTAGCTAGCGGCGTATTTGCACAAGTATTCACGCAATTACGCCGAGATGACTGTACACCTCTCTCGTTTGTTGAAAAAGAACGAAAGGTGGTTATGGAACGCTGAATGTCAGCGCTCCTTTGATGGTATCAATCAGAGCTTGATACAATCCCCAGTCCTAGCAACAGCCGATCAGGACAGGCCATTTCATGTGGTCTGTGATGCCAGCGATTTCGCAATCGGCTGTGCATTAATGCAGTACGATCTTGAAGGCGTTGAACGCGTCGTCTGCTATCAGTCGCGTCAGCTGCAACCCTCTGAGCGGATCTATCCAGTGCATGACAAGGAACTCCTTTCCATGAAATATGCACTCGCGAAGTTCAGAGTCTATCTCTTAGGAGATATACCCTTCATTGTTTACACTGACCATGCGTCATTACGCACGGCAGTGAACAGCCCGCACCTTTCACAACGAATGGCGCGGTGGTTGTCATTCTTTGCAGAATACAACTTTACGGTCGAGTACAAACCAGGACGACTTAATGTCATCGCTGATGCACTCTCACGTCGTCCCGACTTTGAACCAGTCGCGAAACCCAACAGTGAGACAGTCACTGTTGCGGTTATGACGTCCTCAGTCCCATCTACAACGTTGTATGATGATGTGAGGCGGGCATACGCCCAAGATGGTGAGATAGTGAAGTTGTTGACACATCTCTCCCAACCATCTCGAGAATCGTTGAAACGATTGTCGTTCTGCGTATCGATCTGCATCAGATCGATACACTACTAGTAACGGTTTACTGTATTATACAGCCGTTTCTGGTGACACACCACGTGTTGTCATTCCAGATGATACTGATCTGCGTTTGCGGATCATGTTCGAGTACCATGATGCTCCTATAGGAGGACATCGTGGCCGAGAGAAAACATATCTCACGGTAAGTCGAGACTTTTACTGGCCCCGCCAGTATCAGTTTGTGCGAAAGTATGTTCGCGCATGCGAAGTCTGCCAACGAGTGAAGTCAAGTCCTTCACTGCGTGCACCTTTACAGCCTCTACCGGTTCCGGCTGAGTGCTGGGAATCCATCTCAATGGATTTCGTCTTCGGGTTACCCAAAGACGCACGCGGGAATACGGGTATTCTCGTATTTGTTGACAGATTCAGCAAAATGGTACACCTTGTGGCTGTACCAGAGACAATCA